ACAGACCTCTTAGGAATGGGGTGAGGTCAACAGTAGACAGTTTAAGGTTAAGGTTTTGGGGGTTTGGGGAAGAAACCACAGCGTCAGGGAGTGCATCCCAGGCATTAACCATTCTGTTGCTGAAGTCGTATTTTCTGCAATAGAGTTTGGAGCGGTATACCTTGAGTTTGTATCGATTGTGTGCTCATGTATTGTTGCGGTTGAAGCTGAAGTAGTCATTGACAGGTAGGACATTGTAGCAGATAATTTTGTGTACTATGCTCAAGTCAGACCGAAGGCGATGTAGTTCTAAGTTGTCTAAGCCCAAAATTTTAAGCCCGGTGGTATAAGGTAGTTTGTTGTAAGCAGAGGAATGGAGGATTCTTCTCGTGAAATACCTCTAGACTCGTTCGGTTGTGTTAACGTCTGATATGCAGTGCGGGTTCCAGACAGATGAGCTGTATTCGAGAATAGGTCTGGCAAAGGTTTTGTGTGCCCTAGTTTGCAGTACAATATTACCGGAAAAAGAAGCTTCGAAGATTAGGTCAACAACTCTTAATGCCTTTTTGGCAATGCTGTTACAGTGAGCTCTGGCACTGTAATGAGTACTGCCAGGTCCTTGACAAGAGTGAGGGTCATCCAAGAGGTGGATTGTAATCCAAATGTGGTGATGTAAATAAAGAGTGTGCATTTGGAATGTGCAGTGAGAATTTCATATAGTTCTCCCACTGGCAAGGATGCCTGCTTTTGCACAAAAGAACATTCTTTGTGAGATCGTAGTCAACTCACACGGCAGATAATCTTGAATGACCTGGAGTTTTGACCTGTCCAGATTACAATTACATTTGGAAGCTTTAGGAACTAAATTACATTCGTTACTCATACCTCTTTTGTGCTCTCAAAGCCTTTCCCCTATTTTAATGGTTTATTTTGCTGCATAGTTCTATTTCGTAGTTCTGTTCCGGGTTACTTAAAGATAGAAGTCAGAAATTCTGGATGAGTTATGCTTTGCTTGGAAGCCTATCAAGACATGGATTATTGCCTCATCCTCAAACTGTTCTTGTAAAAAAGTTCTGTGGGTTGATATTCCATTCTACTCTTACCCCAGCTCTGTTGCCCCTTTAGCTTTAATTTATAACCTCCCCAGCCATTTATATTTATCACTTGATTGTCCAAAAGGGCTGATTGATGGCAAGGTCCATTATCAGCAACACCAACTGTTATTTGTGTCAAATGCTTTCACAACTGAAGAGGTACTTTAGTGACATTAACCTGGTGTAAGAAAATAACAGCTGAAGAACAGAGCAACCAGTTCAATTCTCTGGAAAAAAATAGATATATCGGGTGGGAAGATAAATCATTTCTCCTTGGGACTTCAACAAAACTGAGCTGGTATGTAGTTATATAGTTTATGAAGAGGAGACATTACAGCAAGTCCTTTCAACTGAAAAAATAAAACAATATGAGTCATGAAGAATAAAGCGACAAGTATGGGTGTATTGGAGTGTTATATTTAACTCCAAATCTCTCTCTCTCTCTCTCTCTCCCTCCCTCCCTCCCTCTCTCTCTCTCTCTCTCTCTCTNAAGTCTACTGCTATTGCTATTGCTATTGCTATTGCTATATTGCTATTGCTATTTCCAGGGTGGCCCAACGGGCCAGATATAAGCATCCCATGGGCCAGATCTGATCCTGGGTCTTGGGTTTGACACCCCTGCTGTAGTCAGTTGGCTCAGATGTCTAGGATACTTTGGAAGTAAAGATAGAAGGCAAAGGTTTCTCTGTTCAGTCATGTCTGAAGTCCTTGGTGTGGTGCTCATCTCCATTTCTTGGCTAAGGGAGCCAGCATTGTCTGAAGACGCTTCTTCCATGGTCATGTGGCCAGCATGGCTATATGACAAAGGCACATGGAACGCTGTTACCTTCCCACCAAAGTGGTACCTATTAATCTACTGGCATTTGCATGCGTTCGAACTTGTAGGTGGGCAGAAGCTGAGGCAAGGATCAGGAGATCACCCCTTTGCACAGTGGTTGGGTCTCAAACCCAGGCTGTCAGCTTTCCAACTGACAAGTTCAGCGTCTTTAACCACTGAGCTATTATGCCCCTCTATTTTGGAAGTTGCTTACATACTGTATTTTTCGGAGTATAAAACGCACCAAGATTTTGAAGAGGTAAGTTTTTGCACTCTGCAGACCTCCCAAACCCTGTGCACATCTCATTTTTTTGTGAAAAACGGGGCATGTGGCCTGCAAAGTGCTACTGGGCCCCCCCAAAAAGGACATGCATAGGAGCCTTGTAGAATGCTCCTGGGAGCTTGGGGGGGGGGGGCAAAAATGAGCAAAAAACTGCCTGTTTTCCACTTGTTTATGTCCTCCCCAGCCCCCAGGAGCACTTTGCAGGCCTCCCAAACCCTCTGCACATCCATTTTTGTGAAGGAGGCGGTGTTTCGGGAGGCCAGAAATGCTGTATTCAGTGTATAAGACGCACATAGATTTTCACCCTCTCTTTTGGGGGAAAAAGGTGCGTCTTATACTCCAAAAAATACGATAATTCTCATACACTCAGGTTGTACTATGGTTGTAATTTTTACGAAGTGTGGAGCTGCTGAGTTTGGAAAAATGTTGATTTCAGTCATCCAGGAAACTTTCAGGAAGAAACTATTCAGGCATGAAACTTTTCTTCCAGCCTTTTCAATAGCAAGGCAGGCGGCATATAAATTTAATCAATCCATAAATTAAAATGTTTTAGGAATGGGAAGAATGAATGTTGAATTTGATTGTTATGTTTTGTTTTGTAAAAAGCTTATTAAAAATTACGTATTAAAACAAAAAAATCTCTTATCCTCGCCTCACATATCTATGTCCTCTCTTTTTCAGGTGCTCCCCATCCAGAATAGGATGAAAGAAGTTGACCGCTTCCCAATGGTGCTCAACGTTGGCATGGGAATTGTGATGACCTTGTATGTTTCATTAGCCACCCTGGGATACGTACGCTTTGGGGACGAAATCAAAGCCAGCATTACTCTCAACCTGCCACAAGATCGATGGTCAGTCAAAGCATGTTAAGATGCTTTAAGTATCCTTGTAATTACAAAGTATTTTCCATAATTGGTATGAGTATTCCCAGTAACAACTATCCCAGCCCACTAGAGCTGGGAGGCAGGATATGTTACCGGTTTGCTCCATGAAGGAAGCCCATGTGGTGGGGCCAAAAAGAAAGACTTTCTCTCCCCATGGAACATACACTATATTGCCAAAAGTATTCGCTCACCTGCCTTTACTCGCATATGAACTTACTGTAAGTGACANGTTTTTTTAAAAAAACCCTCTCCTTTCAGGATTGTGGCCAGTAACCTGAAGATTCCACCAAGGTCCACCCCCTTGTCCGCCATGTTCCATCAAGCCCCACCCCCTGTCTAGAGTAGGTGAGGACTTTTTGCATTCAGAGCTGGTAACCGTAGAAACACCACTCTGTGACCAGGTCCTATTGTATGCAGGTCTTTGGGTTCTCCTTATGGTCAGGAGCAGAACATCACTTAACATGTGATGTTCACAGGTGCTGATGAGAAATACTCAACCAAGTTTACGTATAAGTCTAGAACAGAGGTGTCAAACTGGATTTCTTCCAGGGCCAGATCAGCCTGGTTGGGGGGGGGGATGGACAGGACGGATGGTGCCTGCAGAATTTTGCCAGCCAAAATGGGGCATGCCCCCCCCCCCCGCATGTGGTAACGCCGGTGCCCAATTTTGACTGCCGGAGTGCTGCAGGAGGCCATCCAGACTGAAAACGGGGCACCACAGGCTGATCCTTTGCTATTTCCAGGCCAGCCCCACGGGCCAGATTTAAGCACCCCACGGGCCAGATGTGCCCCCAGGCCTTGAGTTTGACACCCCTGGTCTAGAAGGAAATGAACTAGAAGGATGATGTGGGGTGAAGGAAACATAGGGTCAAGTTATGTATGCTATATTATTTTAGTTTTGGGGGAGATAACTTGGGAAAATAATGGGGAGATCTGAAGGAGATGTTGGCACTAGCATCCATAGGGGACTTAAAAGAGACAAGATGGTACTTTAAGTTGATGTAATACTCAGTGTATATAAGAGGGAAAGGCCTTCCATTGCAATGCTACAACTACGATCTTGCCCCCCCCTTTTTTTTAACACAGATGCCTCTGAATATTGAGCTTTAATTAATTTAATGGAGTAGGACAGTGATGGCAAACCTTTTCGACACCGAGTGCCCTAACCGGAACGTATGTGCATGCATGTGTGCGTGTGCTGGGAACCCGAAGACAAGATGGCTGGTGCACCCTTGCCTGTTTTTTGGACGTTTTTCAGACTGTTTTTCGCCCCGAAAAACAGCCAGAAAAATGGCTCGTTTTGACCATTTTTGACCATTTTTCGGGCGGTTTTCAGGCCATTTTCCAGCCCGCAAAGACCAGCTGGCTGGTGCACATGTATGCACCAGAAACCAGAAGAGCAGCTGGCGATGGCACGCATGGCCACAGAGAGGGCTCTGCATGCCACCTCTGGCACACGTATCCCATAGGTTCGCCATCATGGGACTAGGATAAGGAGTATGTGGCTAGGAGAAGGACTGTGAGAAACAACTGCGATTGAACTGTTTTGAATTCAAAATACTCTGCTTCAGTGGTGGATTGTAGGTGGTACGGCCCGGTACGGGCGTACCGGTGCCTGCCAGGAGCACCTGGTACCGTTCCGGTACAGTGCTCCGGAGGGCCCATCCCCAGGATTGTTCATTGTGATTATTGATTTCCCCACCCTCCCTATTACTGATTTTGTTAGTTTTAATTGCGGCTGCTTCAATTTATATGCTTTGCTTCGTGTTGCTCTTCTTATAAATGGCAGAGAATCAGTCTTGATTATAGTGGACGTGTAAAATAAACAATACAGATAGTCCTTGACTTACAACCCTAACTTGGGCTACTTGTTATGGCCCTAAGTCATGAAGCGGGTCACCCAAGTGAATGACTCAATTTTACTACCTTTGTTGCAGTAATTGTTAAGAGTGGCGTGGTGGCCTAGCAGTGAAGCTAATTGCCTCTCGTTTGGAAGATTGAGAGTTCAATCCTAGGTAGTGGCAGATGTTTCTCTCTTCCCGGGCGCAAAGAAAAAAAATATCTGCTGCGAACTCCACATGGTGTCAGGAAGGGCATTCGGCCAGTAAATTCTCAGCTCCATTCAGTCGCCCCAATTCTACCCCAAATTACTTAAAGGATAAAAGTTGTAAAAGGGGTGTTGCAGTGGTTGTTAAGCAAACACCACTGTTGTTCAATGAACCCATTGTTCACTTCGGGAAGTTTTTTCTGAAAACCGGAAGTAAATGTTAATTTGTAAGCTAAAATGTTGTAAATCGTGATCATGTGACCACAGCAAGTGGCAAACGTCTGTAAAGGTGGACTGATTGTCCAATCCCTGATATTTGGTCATGTGACCGGGGACGGGGGGAGGGGCTGGCCATGAGCACTTCAGAACCAAGTTGTAAATTAGCCCTGGGAAGGTCTGTCATAACTTTGAACAGTTGTTAAGCAACCAGTTGTAAGTCAAGGACTACCTTTACTACCTGGATGCAGAATTTGGCAAAGAGTCTTGGAGTGTCACGAACCAATTATCGAATGAATTGTCTCCTGCAAACTCCACTCCCCTTTTGCTCCTCTTTTATTTCCTCTGGGAGGTGCCATTCATCATCCACCTGTGGCCTTCCTCCCAAGTCAACCCTGTTCTTTAGCTGTTCCCTTTGTCTGGCAACTCTGCGCATGGGCACACTGGGAACAGGCTCCAGCTGTTCTTCTGCCTCACTGATGTCTGATTCTTTTTTTGTTTTGTTTCATCATTCGTCAATCATTAAAACATTGAAGTACAATTTTTTTGTATGCCCCTCCCTCCCTCCCCCCCCCCAGCCCCTCTCCTCCCCCCCCCCCCCC